GGGTTGACTACTTGTTTAGTTTGTGGGCACACAGAGAAAGATATTTTACATGCCTTTCGTAATAGTTGTTTTGAGCGTACATTATGAACTCGGTTGGTTCCCGAAAGATTTTTGTGTTTTCTTTACTATGCCTTTGTGGATTCAGGCAAACCTTAATAATTCATGGAAATTTGATTTGAGAAAAGTCAAATGGTCGAATGTACTATTTTGAATATTTTCAAAACTATGAGATTGTTTAATATTAGGCCATTCTCTATCATTGATTAGACTAAAATTTTTATATATGTTTCCTAAAATAAATATTTAATTTTTATGCATATTTAAAAATTAGTAAAATGTTAAGAATTAATTTTATTATGAATCTATCAAATGGTTTCAACGATTAAAAGAAATATTGTTCTTTTAGAAATTTTGAGTTCAATTAGTTACGTCTGCAGTGTGTATACGTTCTCAAATGGTTAATTTTTTTAAACATATATTAACTTATAATCACTTCATATTATTCAAAAAAATATCACATAATTTCTCTATTGATCTATTATTGAAACATCAAATTTCATGAAAATAAATAAAATAATTGATGATGAAATACTTTATATATGAATTGAGAAAAAATAATTATTTCTTTATAGGATAAGCTACTTGTTTAATTCTAAATTATTGTTTTTGTTTTGTTTTAGTATCTATTTTTTAAAATCATACATAACATTTAGTTTAAGTTTCATTTTAGTACACTATCGTTAAAAAACTTAACAGAACTGTCGACGTGACATTACCTTGTAATGACATATCAGTATAAGTGTTAAAATTTTAACGACATGGTATCAAAATAAAACATAAACTAAACGTTAGGTATTATTTAAAAAAATAAAGTTTAAGTACTAAATATTTAATTTACCCTTCTTTTATCTTTTTAAAAAAGTGTTAAATATAATACTATTATATCGTTAAAATTATTTAAAAATAATTATAAATCTGAAAAGTGTGCCTTCAAACATATTAGACGAAATTGATAAGAGTATATTTGGGCACATCTCCTCTCTAATGGGGTGAATTCACGAGATAATGTTCTCGATTTTTTTTTTCACGATATGGTGCACATCCCAGATTAATTGCTGGAATGGGGTGAATTATACAGTGGTCTTGGAGGTCGCCATGGCATCCGGGCGACCTTGGAGGTCGCCATGGCATCCGGGCGACCTTGAAGGTCGCCATGGAATCCGGGCGACCTGTGTGTATTACAAAGGAATAGGTCGCCATGCAATCAACATGGGACGTGGGAATGCATGGGGGAGGGGATGCATGGGACGTGGGAATGCATGGGGGAGGGGATGGTGCATTGGACGTGGGAACTGTGCATGGATATGCACGGCGAACGGTGTAGGTGACGGTGGTAGGTAGGTCGCCATGGAGTCTCAGCGACCAAGGTCCTGTAGCTGTAGCTGCATGCATGCGTTGCATCATAGCTCATAGCTCAGAGATTCCTGCACCCGTAGCTCTGTATGTGTTGCATCTATAATTACGTTATTGCAGCGTTAATTTAGCTGTGAGCCTTTCAATGCTCAATAGTTAACGCTCAGTTGCTTTATATAAAGGATATGGGGTATAGGGTAGAAGCACAAGCAGAACCAGCACATATAAATTTTGCCGAGAGAAATAAAAGGAAGAAGAATAAAAGAAGATAAAGGCTCAAACATAGTTGAGGTAATTTTTTTATTGTTTAATTTAGTTTATTATATGAAATTATTAGTTTGTTAGTTTCGGGTTTAGCTTAAAACTAAAATCTAGTTAATTAGTTTGTTAGTATAAATTATTAGTTTGTTAGTTTAAGTTATATTATATTAGTTTATTAGTTTAAGTTATATATTATATTTATATAAAAAATTAGTTAATTAGTTTCTTAGTTGAAGTTATTAAATATAAAAAATATTAATTAATTTGTTAGTGTCTTTAAACGTATATTAGGTTGTTCGTTGAAGTTGAAGTTATATTATAAAAAAATTAATTAGTGCTTAATTAGTTTGTTATTTTAACTAAGTTATATTATAATAAAGAAATAGTTTATTAGTTTAAGGTATATTATAATATATTAGATTATATAAAATTAATTTGTGGGAGCTATTGTTGTTTAAATAAATATTTTGTTTACACATACATGACATTATTTTACAATATTTGCCCACGTACAGATTGATTCGAATAAAGAAACAAGGCAGGAAAAGAAAGTAAAGGAAGAAGGCATAAAGACGTGAGTAATTTATTATTTTTTGTTGTCCATTTTTTGTTGTTGTGTATGTGTAAATTAGTTAGTTAGTAAGTTTATATTAGATTATATAAACTAATTTGTGCGAGATAATTTCCGTTTTAAAAAATATTGTGTTTAAAAATATTTAGTGTTGTTTTAAAAATATTTTGTTTAATTTACATTGTATGTGTATATTAGTAAGAAGTAAAAATTAATTGAATGAAATAATCCGGACAACGCATTATCTCGCGAAATAATTATTTCGAGAACATTATCTCGACAGTTTTGCCTAACAAATTTGTTTGATATTTTAAAAAAAAAATATTATCAAACTAATCATTATTATTAGTAATAATTACTAAATGATTAGTATCAAATCTAAATCATTAAATATTTATAATAAATAATTGTGGTGCGCTATTATCCACATCGGTCATTTCCGCTTCAGTTTGTAGAGATGAACTCCCACTCTCACTCGGTAGAGAGTATTCAGCTTTACCAAATCTTTTCTTAAACCTCAAAAATTGTCGCCTCTCTACTATTGTTGTGAGGAACGGCTTTCCATTATCCAAAAAATAAGCAAGGTAAGCCGAAGTCTCAAAATTAAAGTCGTCGTCTTGAATGGCGTCAAGAGTTGGCATGAATGAAGCCCTATTGTTCCAAGCATTAATGTAGGTTGCATGCTTCTCAACCCAATTAACGCTTTCTTTACGACGACCATCAAATCTGTGCAGGTCGTCATGCGTCTCAACCCAATTCACTGGACGACGACCATCTAAGTTTTGGAGGAGGTCATGATCCCATGGACTCCGCGGAATAGGTTGGTGGAAGTGGAATTGCCTCAGCACTCTATCCCCAAATTGGATCTCAACAAAAGCAAAATTGATCAATGGTGTAACAGCACACCAATATTGAAACCCATCTAAAATATCGTGCGGTATCAACGCAAATAATTCTTCATTCATGTATGGTCTCCAATTAAACTGTAAAATTACAAAAACAATAAAATTTATTTAAATCAGATAATATAGTTAATTTAAATAATAATTAAAAAATACAAATTATGCATACCTCCTTTTTGGCCTTAATGTCGATCTTCAACCTGAACTCTTTAATGTTGTTGTGCACCAACCCTGTGCCTTCAATTTTATGCCTCCATCTGTATATCAATCAAAACAAAAATAGAGACATTTTGTTCAATAATTTTAATCAAAATAAATATTTTTTAATTAATATTTTATATTAAAATAGAGGATTCATATTACCTTCTGGCAAGTGGAAAGTCAACCGCAGTCCGACTAATCGGTGTCAAAAACGGAAGTCTATGCCAAGCCCATGATTGTAGCAGCAATAGACATCCACCGATTTCTACTGTATTATTATCATTCACGACTAATGACGCCTTGCACATCTCACGATACAAGAACGCCAATATCGCCGAACCCCATCTATATTGCCTACAATTCTCAAAATTTGTTAAAAAAAGAAGATACTGAGTGTGAACATAACTACCGGATTTATCAGGCATCAAAATTCCCCCAATCAATTGTAATATATATGCTCGTGTTGCATATATAATTTCATGCTCCGTACTATTTGATTGAAGTTGAAATTCATTCTTCAACCATGACAACCTCACCCGCCACCCTTTACACTCTGGTGGTACGGGCGCTTTCCCAAGAAACAAGTTGCAAAGTTGTTCCACCTTATTAAACTCATGTGACATTACCACCGGCATCCCATTAGTTTGGACCCCGAGTTGCATTGCCACATCCTCCAAAGTTATCGTGCATTCGCCACACGGCAAATGAAACGTGTGCGTTTCTGGTCTCCAACGTTCAATCAACGCACTGATCAAACCTGGGACCAACTTGTAATCTCGCACAAATGTGATATACCAAAATCCAGCCTCTTGCAAATTTTCTTCTATTAGTGGGTGTGGCTTGGGCACTTTATGTAGTCGAAGACGAAGGACTCGCTGCTCGTCCTCCTACAATTAAATATTTCAAAAAAATTATCACAATCATAAAATAATATTCAAATATTTATTAATTATAATTCATTAAACAAATATTTTATTCACCATTATTCCCAAATGACTTGAAATATGTTCATTGTCAAGCCTCAACAGTGGAATTTGGTCAGCCATTGGAATAAATCTGTAAAAAAAATTAAACAACAATATTTAAAAAATCATTTAATATAATCTAATATAAACTAACTAACTAATTTACAACACTAAACTTTAATATAATAGCTTATAATATAATAAACTAATAAACTAACAAACTAAACTTTTTAAAATATAAGTTAAACGTAAACGCTAAATCCTTAAACAACTAATAAAATATTCTTCTATATAACTAAAACTAACTAATAAACTATTTTTTCATTATAATATACTACTAATAAACTTACTAACTAATTTTTTATATAATATAAATTCAACAAACAAATATAACTTAACTATTTAACTAACACAAACTAATTAAATAATTTTTTTATATAACTAACTATTAACAATACAAACTAATTAATTATTTTTTAACTATATAACTATCAAACATATACTAATTAAATAATTTTTAATTTATGTATACTATAACTTAAACTAACAATCATATAACCCTAAACTAACAAACTAATTAGCTGCTTTTTGTTTTACCCTAAACCCTAAACTAACAAATTAAACATTTATAATAATAAACTAATTTAAATACAAAAAAATTTACCTTATCTCCCTTTCTTCTTCTTACTTTCCTTTCTCCCTTTCTTTCTTTCCTTTCTCCCTTTCTTTCTTTCTCGGCTGCAATCTCTTCTCCCTTTCTTCTACAATCTCTTCTCCCTTTCTTTCTTTCTTTTATAACCGGCTGCCTCAATTATTTCACCAACCGACTGCCTTAATTATTTCACCAATAATTGTACAATTGCAGCTATGATATTTCACGCAGCAATGGTTCAATTATTGTACCAATTATTTCACATGCATGCAGCAATGGTTCACATGGTTTCATTGGGAGCTGTAGGCATGCAGCATGCACACGTGAAGGAATCTATATGGCTGCATGTGAATGGATGATGGGAATGGACGATGGGAATGGCGCCGGGACTACATGGCGACCTACAAGGTCGCCGGGACTACATGGCGACCTACAAGGTCGCCGGGACTACATGGCGACCTACAAGGTCTCCTAGGCTGCATGGCGACCTCTCTATTCCACTGCATGGCCACCTCGCATGGGGAGAACGCTCGTATGGCTCGCATGGGGAGAACGCTCGTATGGCTCGTATGCATGGGGCTCGCATGGGGAGAACGCTCGTATGCATGGGGCTCGCATGGGGAGAACGCTCGTATGGCTCGTATGCATGGGGAGAACCATTGGCTCGTATGGCTCGTATGCATGGGGAGAACCACCTCGCATGGGGAGAACGCTCGTATGGCTCGCATGGGGAGAACGCTCGTATGGCTCGTATGCATGGGGCTCGCATGGGGAGAACGCTCGTATGGCTCGCATGGGGAGAACGCTCGTATGGCTCGTATGCATGGGGAGAACCATTGGCTCGTATGGCTCGTATGCATGGGGAGAACCATTGGCTCGTATGTTCCCGTATGTCGCCTGGATTGCATGGCGTCCTACAAGATCGTCTGGATTGCATGGCGTCCTACAAGATCGCCTGGATTGCATGGCGTCCTATGATCACTGTATAATTCACCCCATTCCAACAATTAATCTCGTGTGTGCACCATATCGTGAAAAAAAAAATCGAGAACATTATCTCGTGAATTCACCCTCTCTAATGTGTTGTCATTATTAGTCTGAGTTGCGAAGTTCTGTCAACCCCACTCTCTTCCTCTCACTTTGGCTTCAATATTTTTATCAATCACTCTCACTCTCACTCTCACTCTCACTCTCACTCTCACTCTCACTCTCCTTCTGCATTCCTAACGACTAACGTGCGCCTATAAATTAAAAACTGAACAACTCCACTTTTATTCAACAACACACCTTCTTCTTTCTTCCTCTCTCTCTCTCTCCCCCCTCTGTTCTTCCATAATTCTATTTTCTTTGGTGTTACCTTGCAATCTGCTAATGCTGTTTCATCTTCATAATCAGAAGTGTATTGTATCAGAAGGCCAACAAAGATTCTTCCTTTAAAAACCAAAAGATCCTGGAATTCAGGGGGAAGAAAAAAGTTTGAAGCTTGAGCTCGAAGACCAACTTTTTTAGTTTATTTCTTTTAATGGGTCTGCTGCTTCTCTTGCTGCTAACGTGCGCCGCACTTCCATTGGCTTCATCAGATCCAAACGACGAGGCGTGTTTGACTCACTTGAGCCAAACTTTGAGAGACCCATTAAAGAACCTGCGGAACTGGACAAAGTCGACCTTCGCAAACCCTTGTAGCGGTTTCACGTCTTATCTGCCCGGTGCCACTTGTAACAATGGCCGAATCTACAAGCTTTCCCTCCCTAACCTTTCCCTCCAGGGCTCCATCTCGCCTTTCCTTTCCAACTGTACCAATCTTCAGTCGCTCGACTTGTCTTCAAACTCCATCTCAGGACCCATCCCCCAAGATTTTCAATACCTGGTCAACCTGGCAGTGTTGAATCTCTCGGCGAATCGCCTTGAAGGAGAGATCCCACCACAGATTACGTTTTGTGCTTATTTAAACGTCATCGATCTCCATGACAATTTGCTCACCGGTCAGATTCCTCAACAATTAGGCCTTCTAGCTCGTTTGTCGGCTTTCGACGTGTCCTACAACAAGCTATCGGGGGCAATACCGGCCTCTTTAGGAAACAGAAGCGGGATTTTGCCAAAGTTCAATGCTACTTCTTTTGAAGGAAATAAGGATCTTTATGGATACCCTTTGCCACCAATGAAAAGCAAAGGATTATCTGTTCTAGCCATTGTTGGAATCGGATTGGGAAGTGGGCTTGCTAGTTTGGTGCTTAGTTTCACTGGAGTATGTATTTGGTTGAAGATTACCGAGGAAAAGATGGCTGCCGAAGAAGGGAAAGTTAGTCAACTTATGCCCGATTATTGAAACCCTCGAATCTGGGTTTAACATGTTTATTGAAGATCACTGAGTTAAATTGAAAAGCTCCAAAAATATTTCCAGGTATGTCTTATTTAGAGTAGAAATCTTTTTTTTTTCTTTCTCCCTTATGGAGAGGTTTTCCGGGTGGCTTATATTTTATCATCTTCTTCTAGGGTATATAATATTTATTTTCAACAATCATCATCAACAATGTATAAAGCAATTCAAACATGATCGTTTTCAGTAAAATAGTGCAGTTTCTTACTACTATTATTCATCTTCTTTGTCCTTGTTTTTTCAGTATCCATTGTATAGATAAAGATGAATTATTTACTGTATACACTTTTGAATTTTTTTTTTAGTTTTTTTTCTTTTTCTTTTCTGTACTCTGTTGTAGTCTGCATAAATTGCAGAATCAGTGTGGGTGATGAATGAAAGGAATTTTGTCTGCTGTGACAATGGATTGAACAAAAATTATATATACAAAGAAAAGGATAAACTACCAATTTATGTCACTGAGAAAAATAAAGTCAATTTAATCACTAATATTTTTTTATGTTAATCAAGTCACCTGTAATTAGATCACTAATATTTTATTCTCCGTCGAGGACGGAGGTTCGGTCATGAACAACCTGACTGCTTCTGTCGTTACGCACGTCCTCCATAACATGAGAGACTTCCCTTGAACGCGAATTCCGATCGGAGCATCAATAGGAAGAAGGAGAAACCATGAGCGGCAACGTCAAAAGATGAATCAATAGCAGAGACATGCATGCCAAATGGAAATCAGAGTCTGAGCAACAATGCCAAACCTATTCCTTAAAGCTGATTCAACCTTTGAGCCAAGTCGGTCTTAACAACAACACGAACTCATCATCCCCTTCGGCTCAACACCGTGGTCGGGAATGAAATAAAATATTAGAGACCTAATTAACAAAATATTTTATTTAATAATCATAATAGAATCGATCTTATAATTCAATGACCAAATATATAGTGTCGCAACCGTCTTTCGGTTGGGCCCCGAAATTGGGCTTCGACTTGAAAAATGTGGATTGGAGTCGCCACCGATCATTTATTTAAAAATAAATGGGTTGATCGGATACCCTATTTCTTACCTGATCTGCGTCTTACCAGAAATATGTCGGGTTCGGGAGTCGGTTACGGTCAAGGAAGGATTAGCACCCTTAAACCGCCCTTTCGGTACTACGTAATTTCCAGTTGTCTTAATTAAGAAAAATAACAAGTTAAATTAAAAGGTAAAGTTTCGATCCTAATTACTTACCCTTGATTGGTTGAAATTCTCGCAAAAAATAAAAAAATGTTAGATAAAAATAATAAATAAATAAATCCAAAAACAAATTATTAAATGTGAAATGAATAAAAAATTAAAAAAAGAACTTGGAAATAAAAAGAATACCACTTTGTGCAAGTGGTGACAGCACATTAATAAAGGATTTACACGTGGGACCCTCCACTTCCCCATGGCTTCACAATCGTCAATCACAATTTTGCTTTAACCTCAAATGCAGGGCCATATCATGATGCACATATTCTGGTAGGTCCTTCTTGTGAAAAGGCAACCACAAGCTAAGTGTTTATGATCTCCAAACGAAGCGGGTAGTTGAAACTTGGAGGCGACAAGAAGCGAGGAAGAAGAGAGGATGTTAATGTAACCGGAACTGTTGGTGTACCTAGTAGTCCCGGTGCGGTTCTCGAGCCTTGTAGACAACGCCATAGGTTCCTTCACCAATCTTCTCTACTTTCTCGTACTGATATTGCTCTGTGTTGAAGTGTATGCACCAATTAATAAGAACCAGAAATGGTGGCCCCCAAACTGTGTGCTTCCCCGCTTCGTGTCACAAAGAGATTGAACTAACTGCTCAACAGGCATTGGCTCTTGGTCCTAATTGATCGGCGTGTAAAAGGAAGGGGGAGGTTGTTCTTGGCCGAACAAAGTGAACCAGAGTTCAACATGTTGTTGATCCCCTGTTATCTGCCAAACTTTCCTTTCGGAAACGAAAATCGCCGCTCAATTTCACATAATTTCAACACCATAGAGTGTATTTTCAACTACAATTCACTGCTGGCATCACTAAATCGCCTTTCACCATCACCGCTTATTCTTCTTCTCCATTCTCTGATTGTCGGCTTCGAATCAGTTTGTGAAACCTGATTTGGTTATTTTCATCGCTACCTTCGAACAGGAAAAAAAATGGATTTTTGGGTCTCCCCTTATTTTTCTACTGTAATTCCTTCCCCCCCTGTTTCAACCAATTCGTGAAGAATTTATAAGAAACTTATAAAAATAGCTTGACAAAGCGGTGGTTTTCTGTTGTTCCTCGTTTACAGGAGAATATGGGTGGTGCGCAGTTAGAGAGAGGGGTCCCCAGAGTCCCATTTTCGGTTGAATTTATCGGGGTTACACTAGCCGGGTTTTTAGGGATTTAGCGGGTTAGTTGGAGTAGTGGTGGGATAGTTTGTTGTTGAAATAAACCTGCAAAAATAATATTAATAGTATTAATAATATAATAATAATAATAAGTAATTATAATAATAATAATAATATAATATATTATTTAAGTCCGGTCAAAAACGGGTGTCTACAGCTGCCCCTCTTTGAACATTCTTGTGTTAGCAAGAATAGGGCAAAGACGAAAAAGACAACCAGTTTTTGTCTGGTGTTCTCAAATGTGATTGAGCTTCCTGGAATTGGGCCTTTGTCTTCTTCTCGGTTTAAAGATTTCGGCTTGAAAATTCTTCCAGAAAGCAATTTATCGCTGTCATCGAGCTGAATGAAATCGAACTCGTCAGGTCTTTGGTAGGCAGATAGCCCTTCTCAACTTAAGCTATGCTGCAAATGATGTGCCTCGGAGCTGAGCGTAGTCAAACTCGAAGGTCTTTGGTTTGCAAATAGCCCTTCTTGCCTTGAGCTATGTTGCAAATGATGTACCTTGGAGCTGAGCGTAGTCGAACTCAAAGGTCTTTGGTTGGAAGATAACCCTTCTCGACTTAAGTTATGCTGCAAATGATGTGCCTTAGAGCTGAGCGTAGTCGAACTCAAAGGTCTTTTGGTGACAGATAACCCTCCTAGGCTTGAGCTATGCTGTAAATGATGTACCCTCGAAGCTGAGTGTAATCGAACTCGGGGGTCTTTGGCAGATAGCCTTCTCGAGTTGGATATCCTTCGTCGTGAAGTTGAAAGTTGTTTATTGACAACCAGCGGTCCCTTCGTCGTGAAGTTGAACTTGCGTTGTCAAGAGTCCAATATCCTTTGCTGTGAAGTTGAAATTGGCTCTGAAATTGAGAAGTTGTTTGTTGACAACCAGCGGTCCCTTCGTCGTGAAGTTGAACTTGCGTTGTCTGGAGTCCAATATCCTTCGTTGTGAAGTTGAAATTGACTCTGAAATTGGGAAGTTGTTTGTTGACAGCCAGCGGTCCCTTCGTCGTGAAGTTGAACTTGCGTTGTCTGGAGTCCAATATCCTTCGCTGTGAAGTTGAAATTGACTCTGATATTGAGAAGTTGTTTGTTGACAACCAGCGGTCCCTTCGTCGTGAAGTTGAACATGCGTTGTCTGGAGTCCAATATCCTTCGCTGTGAAGTTGAAATTGGCTCTGAAATTGGGAAGTTGTTTATTGACAACCAGCGGTCCCTTCGTCGTGAAGTTGAACTTGCGTTGTCTGGAGTCCAATATCCTTCGTTGTGAAGTTGAAATTGACTCTGAAATCGAGAAATGTTTGTTGACAACCAGCGGTCCCTTCGTCGTGAAGTTGAACTTGCGTTGTCTGGAGTCCAATATCATTCGTTGTGAAGTTGAAATTGACTCTGAAATCGAGAAATTGTTTATTGACAACCAGCGGTCCCTTCGTCGTGAAGTTGAACTTGTGTTGTCTGGAGTCCAATATCCTTCGTGGTGAAGTTGAAATTGGCTCTGAAATTGAGAAATGTTTGTTGACAATCAGCCGCCCCTTCGTCATGAAGTTGAGCTTGTGTTGTCTTGGATTCAAGATCCTTCGTTGAGAAGTTGAAATTTACTCTCGAGCAAATTGTGAGTTCGAGAGAAAATTTTCAATCTGTCGAGTTGGTCGAAGTGTAGCTTCTTGCTGCCGAGCTAAGCAACCACCATCGTTCTTTAAAGGCGCTTACAAATCAAGTATCCTTGACTCTAAAAGCTGCAAAAATCATGTATGCTAAAATGAGGAATGTGATGCACCTAATTATGTCTAAGATGCATGCAACATGAATGAATTATGTGTTATCTCTTCGTGCTTTGTCTGCCAATCTGGTCCATGGAATCGATCGTGCCCCATTTGCTTCTCGAGCTTGGGCTTTACAGACATTTCATATATGAGATTGTTCTGTTTGAAAATGTTTTTCTCATTTTTCTTGTTTCAGGAGAGAAAACGATAAAAATGCTGTAAAATATTATTCGCAATTGAATCAAATTATAAACGTGAGTTCAAAGAATATCAAATGAATCAATAGCTCTTTTAACGTTTTCAGAGTTACAGCTCTTTGACCAGTGTTCAAATGGATGGGTTGGCTTTAGCTTGGCCTCCTTTCTAAGGTTTTGGTAAAAAATGTCATTTTTTTTAAATGCCGCAACATGCTTTGGCACTTCAATTGGGTGCGGACAAAATGACGCAACTAGCATGATCACTTACTAGACCTTTTATTTCAGTCCTCTGAAATCTTCTATTTGCTCAAGCTTTGTAGGCTCCTCTAACAAAGGCAGTGCAAAAACATCGGTCTAAAAATGAAATTCTTGAGTGCTCGTGTGTAGTTGACTATAACAGGTGTTCCTTAACTCCCTTAGTCCATTTTACAGAAAATTTCTTGCTTAGATAAATTTGATTTAATTTGTCGTTATCTGACTAGCTGAATCCATAAAGCCGGGGCGTTTAACCAATTGCTTTAGAGGGACAGCTTAATATTATAATCACAGTTATCAAGTTAACTGAAGGGTTCATCTCATCACAGAGTCTTCAGCCTGACACGAGCAGTGGAGCAGACACCGAATTGCCAAGTGTCCGAGCAATGTCATGGTTTGAACGTAATCTACTCATAAGGCCAGGGCTTTCAAGTTTCCTCTATAACCAATTGCCTTAGCGGAATAGCTCAGTTTTTACGGATTTAATTTCCTAAGATTGTCAAGAAGAACCTGTTATAACCTAGGTGTTTTTTGAAAGTCAAGGAATCTCATCTTTAGAGTTCAATTTTCAAGCAACTGACCTAAACTGGATTCACCTACTCGACTCTTTCATTTGTAAAGATCATCATCGTCATTGAACGTCTTAAATAAAAAACATAGTAATTGTCATATGCAAATGATGCCCCATGTTGTCCGCACCTTATGAAAGGAAAAGGGTATATTGGTTAATTACAAGAGCAGGGTATGGTGTTTGAGGGTATATTCTGGATAAGGTCAAAGTCCTTTTTTTTTAAATCATGTTACTTTGTCAAAGATCCGTAACTTTGAACCAATAACAGAGTTTCTTAATTCAAATGATATTCAAAGAATTGCAAGTTTGCAAATGTGATTTATTGCTCGCCATCATTAAAGCAACATAAATTTATTTAAAAGTCCTTGCAAAAACTTGAGAAAAGAATGAAAAAACAAATCCAAACAGAATGGCTCAAATGATGAAATGATATGCCTCACTTGGATGCCCCCAAGTTGTTGAAGTCGATCCGATTCTTGTTACGTATTTTCTGTATGATTCTCTTGATGGTGGAATAATTCTCGATAGTGCACCCTGGGACTCCGCTATGATTTTCGCAATGAGCGTTCTCATCATACTACCTGGGGTACGGGGCTTCATGGACACCACGTGTGCATCAAACAACTGTTGGTAAAGCTCCTTATATGTCATAGGATCGAAATGTTCTCATTTTTGATGAGACATGTGAATGTAATGAAAAAAGGGAATCATAATGCGAATGTAAAGAAAAAATAACAAAATGCACAATATGTCTGAATGTATGATGCATGAAATGTTCGAGGCATTGATCCGAAAAATGTGCCTATTATTCTGAATAATCCTTATTGGGGACAAAAATGTTACGTCTAAAGAGACAAAAAACTTTTTTGATGGTATAGATCCTGCACAGCCTCTGGAAAGTTGATTCGTCTTCCGCTTTTTCACCGGTTGAATATCTTGTCGAACCATTCCAGTTCCTTTGGCTAAACTTGTGCGGGTAACGAGTTGCTTGCCCCAAAAAAAGGTCTCGAATGACTGCATCTCCGGGCTTCGCTCTATGCCGAGCTCGTTCCAAACGAAAGTGCCATTGGAGCCCTCAATCCGAAGTTTATCGACCTGTTCTTGGAATTAATCAATAATGGTCTCCGGCTTAGCTAGGGTTTCACCATCTTGTTCTCGTAATTTTCGAAAGGACTCTCCGGGTCAGTAACTATTTCCTCGTCTTGCCCCTGCAACTTTTGCCTCTGAGTATTCTTTGATCACGGTTGGACTTCTGAGCTTTTTATCTCTTTGTATTATAACCCATTTGTCCATTAATGCAGATTATTTACGTTTAACAAACACATTTTTGGTGGATCAACACCTATTTTAAATGATGCGAATGACAAAAACAAAATAAAAGATGACAAAATAAAAAAGTTAGTGAGGTAAATCAAAAATAATAAAATGAAAAAAATCCTACCCCACATGATATCTACCCGAACATGCTTAGCATTCCTACCCGGACATAATTTCTATCCCGCATGCTAATTTCAAACAAATGCTAACCGCATATTTGTCTAGTTCGCATGCTTTGAACAGAAAGTAAAGCATGAAATAAAATCAAAGCAGCCTAGGGTTTGGAATGAGGTCTTGGGGTGGGCTCTAATTCTCCATAGTCTCCCGGTTTAGGTGCTAAAAAATGGTACCCGAGTTCTTCTTGCCGGTGCCCCCTTGGACCGACCAGACCCTTAGTCCGAAACCCATCACAGGCTTGTGTGGACTAAGTTAAACTCGAGAGGACACATTCCCTTATGCCCATACGGAGAATAAATTCACACGAAGGCATAAGGTATATGAATCCCGAAGGCTACTTGCTAGGCCCATACGGTGAATAAATTCACACGAAGGCGTCGCTTTCACCCCCACTTAAAACGGGTTCGGAGCTCGGGTATAGAGCCTTAGATGAAAAAAAACTTTGAAGTCTGAAATCATGAGAAAACGATTAATCCAACTATTTACTCGAAAATATAATCAAAAGTAAGTAAAAAGGATCGAAATATTACCTTAAAATTTAAACTTACCATTCTCGTTAAAAAGACAACTGGAAATTACCTTAGCCTGACTCACTTACCTGTCCCCAGCGGAGTCGCCAAGCTGTCGCAACCGTCTTTCGGTTGGGCCCCGAAATTGGGCTTCGACTTGAAAAATGTGGATTGGAGTCGCCACCGATCATTTATTTAAAAATAAATGGGTTGATCGGATACCCTATTTCTTACCTGATCTGCGTCTTACCAGAAATATGTCGGGTTCGGGAGTCGGTTACGGTCAAGGAAGGATTAGCACCCTTAAACCGCCCTTTCGGTACTACGTAATTTCCAGTTGTCTTAATTAAGAAAAATAACAAGTTAAATTAAAAGGTAAAGTTTCGATCCTAATTACTTACCCTTGATTGGTTGAAATTCTCGCAAAAAATAAAAAAATGTTAGATAAAAATAATAAATAAATAAATCCAAAAACAAATTATTAAATGTGAAATGAATAAAAAATTAAAAAAAGAACTTGGAAATAAAAAGAATACCACTTTGTGCAAGTGGTGACAGCACATTAATAAAGGATTTACACGTGGGACCCTCCACTTCCCCATGGCTTCACAATCGTCAATCACAATTTTGCTTTAACCTCAAATGCAGGGCCATATCATGATGCACATATTCTGGTAGGTCCTTCTTGTGAAAAGGCAACCACAAGCTAAGTGTTTATGATCTCCAAACGAAGCGGGTAGTTGAAACTTGGAGGCGACAAGAAGCGAGGAAGAAGAGAGGATGTTAATGTAACCGGAACTGTTGGTGTACCTAGTAGTCCCGGTGCGGTTCTCGAGCCTTGTAGACAACGCCATAGGTTCCTTCACCAATCTTCTCTACTTTCTCGTACTGATATTGCTCTGTGTTGAAGTGTATGCACCAATTAATAAGAACCAGAAATGGTGGCCCCCAAACTGTGTGCTTCCCCGCTTCGTGTCACAAAGAGATTGAACTAACTGCTCAACAGGCATTGGCTCTTGGTCCTAATTGATCGGCGTGTAAAAGGAAGGGGGAGGTTGTTCTTGGCCGAACAAAGTGAACCAGAGTTCAACATGTTGTTGATCCCCTGTTATCTGCCAAACTTTCCTTTCGGAAACGAAAATCGCCGCTCAATTTCACATAATTTCAACACCATAGAGTGTATTTTCAACTACAATTCACTGCTGGCATCACTAAATCGCCTTTCACCATCACCGCTTCTTATTCTTCTCCATTCTCTGATTGTCGGCTTCGAATCAGTTTGTGAAACCTGATTTGGTTATTTTCATCGCTACCTTCGAACAGGAAAAAAAATGGATTTTTGGGTCTCCCCTTATTTTTCTACTGTAATTCCTTCCCCCCCTGTTTCAACCAATTCGTGAAGAATTTATAAGAAACTTATAAAAATAGCTTGACAAAGCGGTGGTTTTCTGTTGTTCCTCGTTTACAGGAGAATATGGGTGGTGCGCAGTTAGAGAGAGGGGTCCCCAGAGTCCCATTTTCGGTTGAATTTATCGGGGTTACACTAGCCGGGTTTTTAGGGATTTAGCGGGTTAGTTGGAGTAGTGGTGGGATAGTTTGTTGTTGAAATAAACCTGCAAAAATAATATTAATAGTATTAATAATATAATAATAATAATAAGTAATTATAATAATAATAATAATATAATATATTATTTAAGTCCGGTCAAAAACGGGTGTCTACATATAGTTTATCCAAAGAAAAGTTGTGGTAGAATCATTGCATTGATTAGAGGCTTAATTAAAAAAAATTGTCCAAATTATATAGATTTTTATATAGTTTTTATTTTAATTGAAATAGCTGTTTAACATTTCTTTTCATTATAATTTTAAGATCAAACCATTAACGACCATAAAAAATAATCATCACCCAATGAAAATATAACACATGATACAAAATTTAATTATTTTCTTAATTTCACAAAAATTTCCTCTAAAATTCTTAAGTTCTTTAAATCTCTTTTCCTCATATTCCATCTATCATCGTTGAATGTCATCTTCCTGTTGCAGTAACGAAGTCTCCTCCTTTCATTGCAAGGTTCAGTTCTCGATATTTCGTTTGCTCATCGCGTTTGTCATTTGTGAATTGTGATATCTTCCATCGTTCGTCGTTTATCATCCTTTAGTAGTACCTCGTCCATCGATTTGCATCGATAGAAAAGTGAAATCATCAATGACGAGGATTCGATAATATAAAGGATGGATAGAAGTGATTGATTTACTACTCGAATTTAGAATATATTGAGAGAATAATATTCTTTTTTGTATCATTAAGACAATTTAATAAATTCACATGATTGATTTATGTTTCTGCTGGAGCAAAGCAGATCAAGGAAATTTGGGAAGAGGTACGGGTGAAAGTAGGGGTGTTCGCGGTCGGTTTGAATCAGTTTTTGACTAAAAATTCATTCAATCTAAAAGTATAAATATTTGCGGTTTGGATCGGTTTGGATGTTTCTAAAAAAAATTCAATCCAATCCGATCCAATTAAGTGCAGCTTGATTCGATTTGGATTTGTGCGGTTCGGTTTCTAAAAATTCTTCCCTGCCAATTCTTGTTATTACAATACCAATACTGATGCATAAAATTAAATATGAAAGGATGGAGAAGGGAAAAGGAACGTTCATTCCTTTATTTAGGTGATTTTCATGCATCTCGTCTTGCAACTTAAGACTATTTTTGAACAAGATCATTGGAGAGCTTGGATGAAATTGTTGATATATTCTTCTTGAAGATCTCTTCTGGAAAGTGTATGCTTCAGCTTCGCAGGGTTTGCCCTCAACATGTTAGCTGTTTCATACCCTTGTCCATCACCAACTTGATGGCTTCACTCAATGATTCCTTTGGGATTTGCCTGTTTTATACCCACAATGGTTTACAAAACACCCAATGTCAGTGTTTTGAAAATCAGATCGGATTGGCCGGTTCAATCGGAAACTATTGTCTGGTTCAGTTCATTGTAATCCGGTTAAACCGTTACTATTAAACCGGACGGAGCCGTTGAACCGTTCGAATCGGACCGGACCTTGAACTAGTTGAACCTTCAATTGTTTTTAAATTAAACCAAACGACGTCATTTTTTAAACGAGTCGAGTCGAACTCGAGTATTGCTAAGCTCGACTCAAACTTAAAAACTTTAAAAGTAAGCTCAACTCGACTCAAACTCACGAGCTAAAAATTATTAAGTTCAACTCGAACTCGAAATATAATATTGAAACTTGAACTCGAAAAGGCTCAAACTCAAAAAAAAAATAGAAGCTCGATTGAAGCCTAAAATTCGAGCTTGATTGAAGTGAAAGAATAGTTCAATCTATGCTCACCAAAAGGCTCCATGATTTTGAATGTCAAATTACCTCTATTATTTATAGAAGTTAGTTGAGATGCTCTTCTATGTTTCTTAGCCATGTGGGATTGTTTTGTTCTCATATTTTTACTCTTTAAACTTCTGTGATGCCCTTCTATATTTCTTAGCCATCTGGGATTGTTTTTAAAAAAAAATTAAACCAAACAATATCATTTTGTTATGATTTTTTTAGCCCCAAATTTATTTATTTTATTATAGTTATATAATTATATTTATTATTTAATATATTTTACCTTAAATATTATGTTGTAGTTAATTTGAATCATTTTGTTTCACTTGATTTTATGATTTTTAACTTATATATGTTATGACTTGTTTTGAATATGACTTGTGAAATAAAAAAAATATTTTTATTAAATATTTTTGGTATTTTTATTTAATTTTTTAAATAATTATGACGTCGTCTGCTTTTTCTGACTGATCGACCGGTTGAACCAGTGAACCGATAGCATGGCCGGTTCGCTAACCGGTCTGGTTCTGAAAACCATGCCCAATGTTTGTATTATCAAGAAAGCAAAAGGAAAAAAATTATAAACAAGGGTACAACCGGATTCAACCAGGTGACCTCTTACTCTACAATCAAATACTCTATCACTGAGCTATGGACTGGGTTTGTTACAAGCTTGTAAATTAAATATTACATTTCATTGGTTCGGTTCGATTTGAATCGGTTTTCAGATTTCCAAACCGAAACCGAACCGAACCAATCAGTTATTTTTGAAAAAAAATCAATCACACTAAATCAGTTTCAATTTTTTTCGGTTATCAGGTTTTTGGATCGAGTTTCGTTTATTTTTTTGTATCGGATTGGATCTGAACACACCCTAGGTGAAAGGGGAAAAAAAGTATCATGGCATAAATTGATTTGGTTTCCTCTAAACATTCCGAAACATAGAATTATTGTTTGGATGACTCTCTTGGATAGACTTCAATAGACTTCCAACAAAGGACATATTTCGAAGAATGGGAATTATTACTTATGGTAATTGTGTTATCTGCAGCAACGCACTGGAGACAAGGGACCACTTGTTCTTTCACTGCCCCTTGGTTGTTTCTATATGGGATTCCATTTTGCTCCTTAACGGGTTGAAGAGAACCACTTTGACAAGGGAGGATATGTTATCATGGGCATGTCATGCTTGGAAAGGTAAGTCCCTCCTCACAACTATTTTGAAGCTTGCTTGGTCTGCATATGTCCAGTGGCGGATCCAGAAATTTATAAATGGAGGTCATAAATTTTAATTTTCTTTTCTTTAAAATAATCGGGTGCAAAAATTTTTATTTTTCCATTTTTCTTTAATATATTATATTAAATTTAACTTTTTCCCCCTAAATAATGGGGATGCACTTGCATATGTCTATACCTTGTAGGAGGAAATAAACCGAAGAATGTTCCAAGACTGCTCTAGAACAGTTGAAGAGATTCTTAATATTATTAAGGATATTGTAGGTATTCAATTAAGGGGGGAAATATTAATAAACTAGATAGTGTTAATATTAATCTTTGTAATTTTTGGGATATAGTCTAACCGATCATTTGATTTTGTAAGTAGTTTGTTCATATGATATTCGGTTGGTGATTGGTTTTTGTAGCAAAACTCTGCTTCTTTGGGTAATAAAATTTGAATTATCAAAAAAAAAAACTTTAAACACTTGAAACAAACAACAATTATAACTTAAACATTTATTTTTCAGTTTAGTATTTATTAAACCTTGTTGGGGTTTTTCTTGTGTTTTGCTAGTGTGAGTAGGTGGGAAACTCAGACCAGCATCTTCACGTCACATGTTTTTCTCTATATTATTATTATTATTGTTACCTAATTGTTAATATTATAATTAATGATTATTTTTTAAAAAATAAAATTTAAGTATATGCAAATTGTTGTAAAAAAACAATGCTTTGATTAAGTCACTTTAATTAGACAACCCATGTTGGCTTCATGATTAGCATTGTTTTAGTTATTGTTCAGCTTTGCTTCTATGTTTACTTCTATGATTAACTTTGCTTCAAGTGGGAAAAGAATGTCCGAAGTTTATTTTCCCACATAAATTTAAGGTTTAATATAAAAATATTTAAATCATACTTCTTTTTTTTATTTACGTGCTTAAACTTTTTTTTATCAATTTATTTGTCTAATATTTCCAGTACTATCATTTAAGTGTTTTAATTGTGCCGGACATTAAAAAATTATTTAAGTGCTTAAACCATTCAGAATGTGTTACATAGCATCTTTATAAACTTTTTTAAAAAAATAAAAAAGTTTAAAATTATTATTATTATTTAAAAAACCCAAGAAATCTAAAAAAATCCCAAAACACTTAATCTTAAAGCATTCACTTCACCTGTCGGCTGTTCAGCGTCACTGCCGGCCCACGGCCGCCACCTATCCACCCATCGACGACAGTCAATAGTTGCTTCAAACCCCCAAAATAGTTTGTATCCTTTATTAACAGTAAACATGTTATGGCTTCTTATTGTTACTATTCAAGTTAAATATTTGAAGCTAAACATGATTGGATTTGTATTTAAAAATGAAATTATTTTTATTTATTTTAATTATCTTTAGCGAGGTAGTATCATAATAATATATGAATATATGCAGTGGTTTGTCCACATTAGTAATAAAATCCCAATTTTATTGCTCAAATTAGGGTCCTTAAATTGCGCCATAAACAGAGCAGAAAACCAGCGCAAAAAAATCCGAAAAGACAAATTATTCTTTTTTATCAAAGAAAAAAATGGATGGACGGCTGTGATGGGAAGCAACGCCGAAAGCGAGAGATGGTCAAAGTAACTTTGCATTGTCCCATTGATGGGAATGGCATGCATATCATCATCATGGGATGGACCCCATAGTGATCAGTTGTGTGTGCTCTATGCAGCACGTCGAAGCTGTCCAATAGGAAGTTGGGGCTTTTCCATTGATGGAAATGGGCTGCATGCATTAACCCACAAACAAATCAATAAATAAAAAGTTCAAAGTTGTATTTATATAAATGTAATTAATTCATCTCATCTTAGTCCGACGCATCGTTTGGGATTTTGGTTTCAATGCCATTCACGCGCTCAATAGCTTTCTTTAATATTATGAATTTGGTTGGTCCATGATGCCAAAATTCTTTTAATTTCCTCACACCACAATTCATTCATTCATTCAAGCAAATGGATTTTTGGATTGGTACTATGATTCCCGGGTATTCCTTGAATGAGCAACTCTCGAGGGAGGCTCTCGTCCAGATGATTGTACCTTTAATTACTGCATGCTCCAATCTGTCATCACCTTCTCAGCGGTGACAGATTCATGCTATGGTAATCAAATTTTAAGTCCGTAATCAAATTCAAGTCGTTAATACCTTGATTGCTGGTTATGCACAACATGGCTTTGGAACAGAGCTGTAAATTATTTTCTAGCACATGCTGGAACGAAATATTTCCCCTACAAGTATAACCTTCAACTCTGTTCTCTCTGAGTTTGCTCATAATCAGAAGACGTGCTATTTTTTTTACTAAAATGCAAATAATAATAATTTGATCGTGCTGTACAATAATAAATGCTACAAAAACCAATAAAATAACCGTAAATTTTCCCTCAATAAAATTAATAAAATAATATAAGGTTTGCAATGTTAAGGGCACAACATTCGTAACTGATACATCATCTCTTTTACCAAATTTAGTTACCCACACAAGCAGGCTACATTTTCATACGAGAGCTGAAGCTATTTTTTTTCCTACCATGACACGCAATTATCTGAAAACTTGTACCTTAATGAATTGAGGTGATTTCCCCCCCTCTTATATCAGTGGTATGGATTTAAGTGAAATACTTGACATGCTGACTGGTATGACTTCTTTGATGCAGCTTGCTCAAACTTCTTAATGGCAGCTTCATTTTCTTCTAAACTAGTCTGGACAAAAAACCGAATCCACCAAGTTGAACTCCGCATTTTAGCCTTCAAGAATGAAACAAGTTATGTCAATGATAAGCCAAACTCGACACATTAATTTCAGTGATAAGTGATAATTCAGAAACAGAGATCATAACGGAGAGAAAAAAAAGTAGAAAAGGTAACCACTTTTTTAATAATGCATGTGCATATCCTTCTTTTTGATGTCTTCTTAATTCCTACCAGACTATCCCAAGACATCAAATTCATCATATGTCCTTAATTTAGTGAAGGAGAAGTGCTAACAAGTACAAATTTTTGGGCCTCTTCTTTCTGAAGTATTTAGACTACTTGAAGTTCAGATTAATCACATTAAAGTACTGTCAATAATTTGGTCAGAGGAGAAACTATTTGTTACCTAATGACAAGTCTGCCTGAAGCTCTGAATAACCAACAGAATATATGAAAATATCCATATCCCAAAAGACTCACAGAAAAAATCGTTACAATTTTGATCAAATGGAAGTTAAACTTTAAGATATACTATAGCGATTTCAATTCCAAATTTCATTGTTATAAGGAGTAAAAAGAGACTGACCGG